CAAATGCAATAAGATTATCAATGAATGTTTGCGACAAAGGATTTCCTGATTAACAGACTCCTTCAAGAAACCTCCCAATATAAATCATATAACCATAATGACTTCTGCTCATTCTAAATTTGTCAGATGACCTAAATCTCCTAAAGTGGAGAATCATTTTAAAATAATAAGATACATCTTGTAGTCATGTTTCTTGAAATAAGATTTAAATTTGAAGTTGATTTGTGTGTCTTTTGTAAATCAGAAGATGAATCCCTCAAGCAATATTTTTTATTTTTTTCATGTCAATACAAAGTGTTTGGTCAGACATCAAAAACTGGATTAATCTCAAACTTAATATTCCTTCTTTTGATGCTGATGCCATTTTATTGTATGTGGATAACTTAAGCTCAGCTTTCTCTGATGCCATAAATATAGTTGTACTTAGCAAAGTACCACATTCTATATAGTAAGAGGATAGATAATAAGCCCTCTTTCCTGTTTTATGAACGATTTGAAGTCATACTAATCTTCATTAAGTAGATTAAAAAGCTGCAAAACTGCTAGAATCATCTCACAACAGAAACACTTGTTTTAATTGAAACAAGTTTTTCATATAATCATGCTCAGTTTTTTTTATTAAAATTTTTATATTTATTTTTTTCTCTTTCATTATTTTGTGAAATGTAGTTATGACAGCCTTCAAGAGTTTGTATTTGTATATTGTTGCATTGTTTTGTTTTGTTAAAGATCTAGAAAAAAAAACTGACGGGCTTGTCAGCAGGTAAGGGGCGTTTACCTTCGGGACAAATTGAGGTCGTCGATTGGTCAGTTGCTGACACGCCTACTGGATTGATCGACAGGTCGCGCCGTAGAGGATCTGTCTCTGTACAAAAAAAATGACGACAAAAAAGCGAGAACTGCAGCAGCCAGCGCTGGGAGTAGGCGAGGCGGCCCAAATGCTGCAGCGTTGCTCTCTGCAGCGCAGGGCTCCAAGTAAAGCAAGAGATGACCAGATATTTTGCTTTTGCCCTCACTGCTCTGGGCCCCTTGGAGATTGTGGGCCCCTGGGCACTTGCCCAGTTGCTCGTATGGTTAATCCGGCCTTGCTCCTCAGGACAGAGCTCCCAAGTCCAGCTCTCTTCAGCTTCCTGAGGAAGTAGAAACACTGGTGGGCCTTCTTGACCAGACGGGAAGTGTTGGCTTTCCAGGTGAGGTCACTGGATAAATACACCCCCAGGTACCTGTAGCAGGAGATCACCTCCACAGCTGCTCCTCTGATGTGTAGGGGATGAAGAGGATCCTTGTCCATTCTGAAATCCACCATCATCTCCTTAGTAGTCTTCCCATAGATGCAGAGATTTTCTCTGCACGACTGCACCAGGTGTTTCACCTCCTCTCTGTATTTGTACTCATCATTGTTCGCGATGCGTCCCACTACTGCTGTGTCGTCCACAAACTTAACTATATGGCAGCTGGGGTGTCTAGCCGAGCAGTCATATGTTAGCAGAGTAAATGGGGGGCTCAGTACGCAGCCCTGGGGCGAGCCAGTGCTGAGGGTAATGGAGGAGGAGACAATGTTGTGGATCCTAACAGTCTGAGGTCTGTTGATCAGGAAGACCAGAATCCAGTTCATAGAACTTATTTCAAATTAGAAACTTATTTAGTGCATCTGGTAGGGGCCAGAGGGGTCCCTTGGGCATTGTGCATCCCTGATGTTGTAGTTGGTAATACACTTGATGCCCTTCCACATGTGCCGGGGGTCATTGATTATGAATTGACCCTGAATTTTCTGGGCGTATGTGGCTTTGGCCTTTGCAATGCCTGCAGTCAGTCTTTTTTTCGCCTCTCGGAGTGCTGATGCCTCACCTGTCCTGAACGCAGCGTCCCTAGCTTTTAGCAGAGCTCTCACCTAAGCATTCAGCCATGGTTTCTGATTCTGATAACAGATTACTGTCCTGGTGGGGATGACCTCATCAACGCACTTGGAGATGAAGCCAAGAACAGAGGTGTATTCCTCCATGTCCACGTCGCCCTCATATGTAGCCGCCTCTCTGAAGATCTGCCAGTATGTGCATTGAAAACAGTCCTGAAGTACAGAGTCCACATCCCTGGGCCACACAGTGACTGTCTTATTTGTTGGCCTAATCCGTCTTATCAGCGGACAATATGCTGGTGCCAGCAGGACTGATATTTGGTCGGAGAGGCCAAGATGGGGACTAGGAAGAGCTCTACGCACCGTGAATGTTAGTGTACACACAGTCCAGAGTGTTGTCTCCTCGCGTAGGAAAAGTGACATGCTGGTAAAAACTGGGCAGTGTGTCCGTCAGTTGCATGTGGTTAAAGTCCCCCACAACCACGTAAAACATCTCTGGGTGCTCTGCAGTGAGCTAATGGCGTCATACAGCTCCTTTGATGCTTCGTTAACATTAGCACCTGGTGGGATGTAAACAATGGTGACAAAACTGCAGTGAACTCCCATGGCAGATATTACGGCCGACATTTTACAGTAATAAGTTCTATTGCCTCAGAGCAGTAGCTTTTTACCAGTCCACAGTTTGTACACTAAAGAGTGTTGATCTGGAAAGCTGAGTCCGGCATGTTGTTGTTAAGCCAGGTTTCCGTTAGGCGAAGAACAGCACAGTTCTTAGTCTCTGTGGAAACACTCATCCTCGGATGTAACAAGTCCATTTTGTTATCCAGTGAGCAAACATTGGCCAGAAAGAGAGTAGGAATTGGTGACATTTTAGCCTTTAGCTGGGCCAACGTGCCCGCTGCTTCCCCCTCTTTTGTTTCCGGGCTCATCGTTTCCTCTTGACCGTTGCTCCTTGCACTTGACTGCACCGTTCTGTTGTCCTCATGAGCCTCTGTCTGCCGAGTGCAGATTTCAGCCTCAGTGATATATTAATAACCGAACTGTCTCTGATGGCCATCAATTCGGTTGAACTGTATTTGAGCCGTGAATTTAACACTGAACTAGTGCCTAAAACGGCCTGATAGAAATTAAAATAATTAAAATGAGGCTTAATCCCGGGAGCATGAGAAGCCACTGCACTTCTGTGCGCCGCCATAACAGTACCTCAACCTTTTTAATTAGGTATTTTAAGCTACTAATAAACACAATGGATGATTATCGTATTGCTTTATGCTAGGCCATTAGTAAGGAGTGAATATTCTTTCATATTGGCTAGGGATTTTTTTTCCCTAAAAGTTAATTTAGGCTACACTATGGTATGTTTCTTAGACTGTGGCTAGGATGCGTGAGAGAAGCGGAGCGTGCTCTATTCACACAAGAAAAGCTGTTGGTCAGGCTACTTCTTGTTGTGCTATTATCTCTATAATGGTTACTGAATCAAGTGTTACTTATGTAGGTAAAACTTGATGTTTAACAACCTGTTAAAATACACCAGAATGCAGAAAATAGCATCTACTTTATTCAGAATTTTCTGGGGGAGGACCCACCCACCACCAGTGTGCCCCCCTCCCCCTCAGTCACATTAAAAATGCTTGACGCCAATGGTCACCACATTGTTCAAGCAAAGAGTCATTGTCAGAACTGGGGGGGCTAAAGCAACCCTAAAGGGCAGAGTCTAGAATCGCCCCTGATGGTAAGGTTATAATTGCATGATTTTGATAATAGGTCGTGATCTAAAGTAGGCCACTCTGAGGCATGAAACGCCAGGGCTGAAAATTAGTCCCACTCTAAACCTGCTCCCCAGGGAGGTGCTTCAGGCTTATCCGCCTGGGAGGACAACCCAGGACACACTGGAGAGACTGTGTCTCTCAGTTGGCATGGGAACACCTTGAGGTCCTCCCAGAAGAGCTGGAAGAGGAGGCTATGGAAAGGGATGTCTGGGCCTCCCTGCTCAAGCTTCTGCAACCCGACCTCAGAACAAGCGGAAGATGATGGATGGATGGTTTCCTCAAATTACTGGGGTTGTCAATTTATGGAGGGAAAGGCCACCATTGCACCTGGAGTGCATAAAACTGCTCCCTCCAGGATCCATCAGTCTGTGCTGCCATTTACCAGTCTGTCTTGCTGTCCTCATACATATCCTGTACCAGTCATACATGTCCTCCTGTACCAGTCATACATGTCCTCCTATCCTCATTTGTCTCCTGTACCAGTCTTACATGTTCTGCTGTCCTCATACATGTCTTGTACCAATCAAGTCAACTTTATTTATAAGCACATTTAAAACGGAAGCTGTTACCAAAGTGTTTAACAAAATAACAATCGATAATCTAATAGAAAAAACTACAAACAATGGTACCAAAAATATATTGAATCCATCAAAGAATAACATAGAAGCACAGAAAATAAAAAAAAATAAAAAAAAAATAAATCAAATTGCACTGTGTGAGATGCCTGAGAAAACAGATGAGTTTTTAGCAGAGATTTAAAAATGGGAATAGAAGTGGCCGGCCTAATTTTGAGAGGCAGATTGTTCCAAAATTTGGGACCCGTGACTGAAAAAGCCCTTTCTAAGCTTCAATCGTGTTTTTGGAACAGCCAAAAGCAGCTGATCGGATGATCTCGGGGCCAGAGAAGGAACATATGGTTATAATAGCTCAGAGAGATAATGGGGTGCAAGGCCATTTATGCACTTAAAGGTTACCAGGAGAATTTTAAAATTGATTCTGGTGCATACAGGGAGCCAGTGAAAGGAGGATAAAACTGGTGTGTGCTCGAACCTACGAGTTCCAGTTAAGAGCCGAGCAGCAGCATTTTGGATGAGCTGGAGACAGGAAATGGAGACCTGACTGTGACCCCAGCATAGGGGGATCAGATGCGGGGTCTGATCTGACACATCACAGGTGTCTTGCTGTCCTTACACATGTCCTTTAGCAGACTGTGTTCTGCTGTCCTCTGCTCCCTGTCATGTTTTTCTGTGGTGTGGTGCTGTCATGCCATGAAAGCTTCCTGCTGCACACAGTCACCTGTTGTCCAAGTCTAGCTTCCACAACTTTCTTGCTTTCTGTAGATCATTAAATGATTTAAATATGTTCTCACCCTCCAGGATCAGACATGAAGCCCTGCAGAAACTGTCCTTCTTCCTTCAGTCCACCAAAAATGAACCAGGCCTTGTCCCTGATGGAGGAGGAGCAACTCCTACAAAGTACAGTATTATCCCTAACCTCTCACAGTAAGAAAGGTTTTTATATTTCATGTTAACTTTGTATTTTATCTGTTTTATTTTAGTGTTGAAACATCAAGTAAGTTGAATCATTTCTTGCATGTCTTGTCTGTGGTCACGGCTTTCTGTCAGTCACTGATAATTGTAAAGGTGAAGGAGGGTCTTCACTGATCAATCCAAACAAACTCTCATGAAATGAAATGGAAAAGAACTTCAATTCTATTTTTACTTCCATCTGATCTTAGTGGCCCGGGGACGGCCAACGTCTCTAATGCCCCTTTTCCACAGTGACAGTGCGGGTCAAATATGCTCAGTTCACCACGGTTTTGAGTGCTCTCCACTAGTACTTTGTACCAGTTTTGCACCCATTTTGTCCCTTCTCAAGGGGTCCAAGTAGGGCTGGGTACCTTTCTAAAAAAATCTGTACTGGTGTCGATACCTTCACTTCGGTGTCGGTACCTGGACGGTTCTTTTTTCGGTACCAATTTTGTAAATTATATTAATTCTAACAAGAATAAAATTACATTGCACATTACAGTACATATGGTGAATTTTATTTTTTAACTTTGGTATTTCTATTCCAAGCAGTTTTCTTACATTAAAATAAACAAATAATTTCCAGTTCAAAAGAACAGTTGCAAACAACCAGTGACATGTCGGTGTCTAATGTTCACTGCTACACACTGAGGACCTTTTCACTTAACAGTTTTTCCTCAGAAACATGTCTGCTTTCTCTGGACATAAACAAGCCCGCTCCTGGCTGATGGTGTCTCCAGCAGTAGAAAATGTTCAATCGGAGACTGTAGATGATGATTGTTGCACACACAGATACCTGGTTGTCAGTTTGATAGTACTGAAATATTGTCTGTCACATTCCACCAGCAGGTCACTGGATTCACTGAGGTTAGGGTTGATGGCAGACATCTGCACCTGTCTCTTCCTGAATCTTCTCTGTGGTTCTCTGGGGTTTAGGGCTCTCATCTTCTCCCTAATTGACATGAGAACACAAAACATCAACAATAACATGGTTGTGTTGTTATTGCTCAAAAACATTATCTAGGCTGAGATAAAAGCTTAACTGATCAACAGTATCCTTTACAGCTTAATTTACCTCCACCATGCAGCTTCCACTGTAGAAAAGACTGTAAACTTTTAACACCAAAGTCTGTGATTGTCCTGTGGCCCCCACCTCACTTTTCTTTTGTCTGTCTGTCCTCACATCAGGGTCAGAGGCTCCTGAGAGGAGAAGATAAACATAAATAGTGAACATTAGATGAACTGTTTAAGCAGCTGACTGGATGGATGAGCACTTTTACAAACTAAGATTTATCTGTTACTGTCAATCTTAAGTTAGCTTCTAAGTTTAGCTAGCTACATAGATAAAATAAATGTACACACTAATATCTTAAAGTTAGCGTTACATGGATCCTAGTTTAACTCTCGGCAATGTACGTGTTAAGCTGCAGTAACATTAACAAACGTAAACTTACCAGCTGAAACACAGACACAGAGCCGTCCTCTGGAGTTCTTTGATGAAGAGTCCGGCTGTGGAATGTTGATTCTATTTAACACACACAGACTGAGTAACGCTGAGAGGAGGAGGGGGGAGGCTGCTGTCCATCTGTCTTCTTGCAGAGAAACACGGAGCAACTTTCTGCTCGTGTGTTGTCGAAGCCGTTCGACCACGTGCTGCACACGTGAACCCTGTCTGTGGGCATCACCAGCACCATAGACATGCATTATACATAGATTAGGTGTGGCAGCTCTATACAGCTCTGGGTGTAAACGCGTAGTCTGTTTGCTATATGTCTGCGTTTTACCTATTCAGAGCAAGCGAGATTGGGCTCTGCCAGTCTCCCCGGAGCTTCAGAGCCCGCTCAAAGTGTCATCTTCCCAGCTCCGGGCTCCACCAGTCACCGTGGAAGATCCTCAGTGCTGCCAGCTCGGGCTCCATTTTCTACTGCTGAGGTGTAGGCGTTTTTTGTATTTAGTGACCACCAACAAAATTCAGAGTGAGCTAGTCACCGCAGAGGATTATACGAGCTGCCAACCCATTGAAGTACGCGAGGCTGGGGCCCGGACCCCGGCCTTGCGTACTAAAAAAGGCCAGATTCTGAGCCCTGACATACGGATGGACCGGGACGGAAGGTGGAAATGTTTGTTAAAAAACATTTTATGTATTAAAAAAAGTTTTTTTAAATCCATCCATCCATTCTCTAACACTTATCCGGGGTCGGGTCGCGGGGCTGGTAGCCTAAGTAGGGAGGCCCAGACTTCCCTCTCCCCAGCCACTTGAGCCAGCTCCTCCGGGAGAATCCCGAGGCGTTCCCAGGCCAGCCGAGAAACATAGTCCCTCCAGCGTGTCCTGGATCTTCCTCTGGGTCTCTTCCCGGTGGGAAGTGCCCAGAACACCTCACCAGGGAGGCGTCCAGGAGGCATCCTAACCAGATGCCCAAGCCACCTCAACTGACTCCTCAATGTGGAAAAGCAGCGGCTCTACTGAGTCCCTCCCGGATGACCAAGCTTCTATCCAGAACCCCGGAATAGACATTGTAGGTTTCCACTGATTGAAGCCACTAGCCTGACGCTCTGAGGTGTCTTCTCTTCCTTAACACCATACATAAAAATTCTAGAGCCCTTAGTGAAGTCAAACACTTTTTACTTATTTTTGCAAAAATAAAAAGCTTGTCCAAAATAAAAACACTAGAGAGACATAGTGGGAGAGGTCAAACAACTGTGTGGCTCCACTCTGTTCCACCTGACTGCCGACAGCCTGACTAATTGTCTGACAATAAACCACACCCACCCCAATACAGGTAATCATCAAAACATCTAATTTTACACTGCTACTGGAAAATAACACAATCTCCAATAAATCTTACATTTTAATCATTTTATCTTTACTAAAATAAACTAAATATCACACTTATATCTATCATTTTAAACTAATCTCAGCGTATCACCTATAAATTCAAAACTCTATAGTTACAGTTGTTAACAATTATAAACTACATTTAGGCTCCAACATTACCGGCCCCTAATTGTTATCAAGGTACTTGAAACAATTACTCAAAAACAAAACGCACAATAAAGTAACCTATATGACTTAGAAAACATTCAGGTTATTTACTGTGCTATCACAACTTCAAAATTTCCATTAATTATCTTCTGATTCTTGCAGAAGACATAGCTTTGTTATAGGATGACAAATATCATTGGTTTTAGTCATGACTTTCACCTGATGAACAAACCCTTTTCTGTCTGGAAAAGTCTCAACAACTCTTCCAAGAGACCATGAATTTCTGGGTGCTGTCATCCACAATCAGCACCACATCACCAACACAGAAGTTTCTTCCAGGTTTGGACCATCGTTGACGTTCTTGTAGCTGAGTGAGGTATTCCTTACACCATTGTTTCCAAAAGATGTCTGCCACGTATTGAACTTGTCGCCATCTGCGATTAGTATACTCGTCTTGCTTGTTAAATACTCCAGGTGGTAACTCAGGCTTGACTTTGAGTAACCAATGTTTTGGTGTCAGTGCTTCCAAGTCGTTGAGGTCTGAAGATGCCTTGGTGATGGGCCTGCTATTCATAATTGCCTCAGCTTCACACAGCAAGATATGTAGACCCTCTTCATCAAAAACTTGTTCTTTCACAGTGATGTTGAATTTTCCTCACCCAACGGATTAATCGCTCCCAACTACCTCCGTGGTAAGATCCAATAGGTGGATTGAAATGCCACTGTACATCCTTCTGTTGCAAGCTCTTAGTAATCTTTCTGGTGTTCCATTCTGCAATAGCTTTCTTCAACTCACTGTCAAATGATCAAAGATTGGTTCCATTATCTGAGTATATCTCTTTGACTTGCCCTCTCCTGGCAAGGAATCTTCTGAATGCACTTGGACAACATCTTCCTGCAGAAAGAAAAGCTTTGCAGAGAGTGGTGAAGGCTGCACAGAAGTCTGTCGGAGTCAGTCTCCCCACCATCACAGACATCTACACCTCTAGATGCAGGAAGAGGGCCACCTGCATCATGAAGGACCCCACTCACCCAGCACACACACTTTTTGCCCCACTCCCCTCAGGAAGGAGGTTGAGGAGCATTAAGTGTAGAACCACTAGACTGAGGAACAGCTTCTACCCTGAGGCTGTTAGACTCATGAATCTCTAACTAGAATAATCACTGTGAAAAACCATATCATGTTGCTGCTGATCTGTTTCATGTTGCTGCTGATCTGTTTCAATGTTGATGTGTTCATGCGTGCACATCCGCTCACAGACTCATGTTCATGTTTGTGCTGATGTTCAATGTTTTTATGTTATGAGTGCTTAGTGTATATTTAGTTGATGCTTTTCTTAGTTCATATCTTAGATGTTATTACTGTTTTTCTTATACATTTTATTGTTGGATGTAACTGGGACCTTGTGTACATAATTTCGCTCCACCACATGTACCACATGAGGTGCGAATGACAATAAAGAATCTCTGACTCTTCCTGATGGCTCCATTAAATCCAGGGATCCAAAATGTTTGACGTAAATATGCCAGCATGTGGTTTCATCCTGCATGAACTGTAACACTGTATGTGTCTCAGCACAAGCTTAGTGACTGAGTCTTTTGGTAAGATGGCTGGTTGCTTGGATTCATCCGACCTCGCTGTTTGACATAACCTTCCTCCAACTCTCATGATTCCATTTTGGAGAACTGGATGTAACTTACAGAGTGAGCTACTCCTCTTCACCCTTTGATGTTTATCCAGCATTGCCAAATCGTCACTGAAGTATTGTTTCTGACAATGCTTCACAATTTCCATTTCTGCATCATTCAAATCTTTCCATGTTAAACTTATTCCTTTGACAGCCTTCTTGAACTGATTTTACTTTGCTTTCTCCGCTTGTTTCAACTTTTGATTTTAGTTCCTTGAGCACTCCTTTTAATTTAAGAAACCAAGCAACAGCTCGCTTGAATTTTTTCCAGGATGAGTAGTTGTTAATCAGCTGGTTCATAGAATCGTTGGGCTCCTCTGCCTCAATGACATTGGCTTCAACTCCTCTCTTCATGACTTCAAGGTCATTGATATCCAGCATTCCCGGATTTGGGTTTTTGGGCCACTCATCTTGCTTACTGCTCAGAAAACTTGGTCCTGAATGCCAGGCTTAATTCTTCAAAAATACTTTCAACAGTCTGTCCTCTAGAAACACAATCGGTCACAGTGGTACTGATCCATCTCCACTGTGACATTTGAGAATGCTCCAAAATTGCTGAGACTCTATTAGCAACAAAAGTCTTAAATCTTGTGCTTTCACTGTTCAAGTATTTAAGCACAACCATGCTATCTGTCCACAAAACAGACTCTTGGAGCTCAAGTTCTAACTCAATTTTTTTGCAACTTGTCCATCTTGACAGCAACTGTGGCTGCAGTAAGTTCCATTCTTGGTATAGTTGGAGACTTTAAAGGTGCCACTCTTGCTTTTGCCATCACCAAAATAGATGTGATTTCACCATTTGCAGAGTGGAGCAGTAAGTAGCTTGTTGTTCCATAAGCATCTTCACTCGTGTCCGAGAAATGATGCAGCTGTGCTAAAACAGGTATCCCAAACTGTTTAGCTTGACACATCTGTCAACTCCAATTTTTTAAGTTGTAAACTTGAGATCCACTTCTGACAACCTTTAACAACATTTTCTGTCAGCTCTTCATCCCAGCCATATTTTTTGTGGCGTAGATCCTGCAGGATCGTTTTGCAGGCAGCACCACTGGAGCCAGAAAACCCAGTGGGTCATAAATGGAACTGACAAGTGAAAGCAATCCTCTTGTGAGTGGTCTCTCCTTTATGTTAATTTTGAACCTGAATTGATATGATTCAGCACACCATTGAAGAAATCTAAGTAGGTCTGTACCTTCAGGGTTGACTCTGACTTGGTAGAACATAGACTTTACATTAGCCATAAATGCTACAGGTTCCTGTCGAAACCTTGAGAGCTTCAATAAGCGAGCTGATTAGATTTGGTCCCTGAAGGAGCTGCTGATTTAGTGACTTTCCTCCAAAGCTTGTTCCACAGTCAAATGTGACACACATCTTTTGTTTGATTGGATGTCTGACTCCATGATGAGGCAAATACCATGTCTTTTCCTCAATAGTTTGGTACTGAGCATTGTCAAGCTTCATGGCATAGCCTTTTTCAAGAATATCATCCATAAAAGCCACACAATCTCTATAAAACATCACATTTTTGTAAAATCTTTTTCTTAAGTTAAGTGCACATTCTGCCATAGCCCTGTTTTGTATGCACAATGATTAATTCTTCACTGGGAGACAAACATTGTAATGACCATTTACAAGTGTTGCAGACTGATTTACCATGTTGATAAACTGGCAATCATCTTTGGACATTTCCCGCCGATGTCCATGCAATATTGCAGAGTCTTGTAAGCCAACACAACCCCATAACATCCAGAGCCTTAAGGAAGTCTGGGCGAATCTCATCCACCCCTGGGGACCTGCCACCGAGGAGCTTTTTAACCACCTCTGTGACCTCAGCACCAGACATTGGAGAACCCGACCCAACGTCCCCAGGCTCCGCTTCCTCAGTGGAAGATGTGCCAGTGAGATTGAGGAGGTCATCGAAGTATTCTGCCCATGACCCACGACATCCCAAGTTGAGGTCAGCAGCACACCACCTCCACTATAGTGTTGGTGGCGTACCACTCCCCCCCCCCACCCCCCGGAGATGCTGGATGGTGAACCAGAATCGCCTCGGAAGCCATACGGAAGTGATTCACCATGGCCTCTCCGAACTCCTCCCACACCTGAGTTTTTGCCTCAGCAACCACCTGAGCCGCATGTTGCTTGGACTGCTGGTATCCATCAGCTGCTTCTGGGGTCACGCATGCCAAAAAGGCCCAATAAGACTCCTTCAGCCTGACAGCATTTCTCACCACCGGTGTCCACCACCGGGTTCGAAGGT